CCCTTACATATATATATATTTTTTATAAAAAGGCTTGTGAGCCCGAGCCGACGAACCACAGGGGTCGGCTCGGCTCGGCCCAAAGCTTATTCTACAGAGAAAGAACTAGTTTCTTTCTCTGTACGATAGAACTTAAAACTTGGTGTCACCTAATCAAATCTTTCATTGCTAGTTGCGATTCTCTTTCTCTCTATATATATATATATCGATGTGTTCTTGGAAATTTCGATGCGCATACCAAGAAAGGAAATAAGAATAATTGGTCAATTTTCCTTTTCCTCGGGGTTCAATCATTTTCTCATGGCGTAATCCCCTCACTTAGATTTGGATTAATTCCACCGCCATAAGATAAAAGCTAACATAAAATTAAGTGGAAATTACACAAAATCATACATTGAAAATCCAACATTCTAAAATCAGATGGCAAGTTTAACAATTCAAAAATCAGAAATTTTATTTTAATCAATATTTTTATTAACCAAAATCCCAAACCCTAATAAAATTAAATTGATATACTCACGCCCACACCCATCCCCAAATTGATTCATTCTCGACCTCCTTCCCCTTTCTCCATTATCAATCAAAATCTGTAACCGACGACGTCGACCTGGAGAGATCCGTCGCTACAGCCACGACGATGATGTTGTCGCTATCGGTGGTTGTATTGGTAATGGTGGTAAGGTTGCAGTGATGATCATGGCGTCGATTTTAAGTGTCGTTGCTCGTAGCATGAACGCCATTTCTGTAGTGGTAGAAGTCGACTGGAGTTGCAGTGGCGTTGGATCTAAATTTTGTGGTGGCTGTGGTGTGGTGAGATGGTGTAAGCGGTGGCGGGTTTAGGGATTTTGTAGTAGTGTTTACGGTGGTGTCAATGTTGTGTTTTGTTGGTTGATAGTGTTTGGTGTTGTAACGGTGCTTTTTGCAGTCGTGGCTATGGTTGCTGTGGTGGTGATGTATGGAGCAATGGTGGTGGTTTGTGTGCGACGATGGCGATGGTGGTGTGCCATTCATTTTTTTTTCAAATTTTCTACTATGTTGACGGTGTTGCGGTGGAGTTAGTCATTGCAGTGGTGTGGCAGCTTTGTTGGATCCAACGATGTTGAGGTTACGTTGAATATGGTGGTGGTTGTGGTTTTGTTGGTGGCGGAGGTGGTGGATATTGTGGGTGAGATGGTGGTGATGGTTATGGTGATATGTTGGTGGCGATGGATCTATTAATGTGGTGGTGGCTATGGTGCGACGATGTGTTGATTTGAGGTGGTGATGTTGCCGTCGAGAGGTGGTGGTGGTGGTAGTTATGGCAGCGACGATGACGGTGGCGGTGGGCTAATGCAAGAAGTGGCTAGGTGGTGGTCACAAGTGTTATGAGATGTTTGTGACCAACTAATAAGTTGAACGTTAATTGGTAAATTTGTGACAAATAAATAATACATGATTTAAAAATTATGTTTGTGACTTATAATTAATTAAGTCGTGACGGAAAAATTAATCTGTGACCTATAAAATTTTTTATTCATGATCGAAAAATAATATCTGACCTATTTAATTTGTGATTGCAAAATAAGTTGTGACCAATAATGTGATAAGTTGTGATTAAAAATTATTTAGTGACTAATTATTTTTCTGATTTGTGACTGATAAATAAATTGTGATCTACAAAATTTTTGAATTGTGATCGTAAAAAAATTTGTGACATAAAATTTTTGATTTGTGCCAAAAAATAATAAGTAACTAATTAAATTGTTAATTTGTAACCAAATTGTATAGATCTGTGATCTAAATATATTTAATTAATAAAATAATTAATTAAGTAATTATATCATAAATAATTTTTAATCAAAATCTGATTTTTTAAGTTTGAAACTTATTTTCTTAATTTTGAAATGTGTGATACTTAATTTTTTACTTATGAAATTTTCCCAAAAATTAAACCATGAATAGTATGGCGACATTTTTATACTCTATCCTGTAATGCGTTAAACTAGAAAAGAGCTCTCGTTTGGCCTCCATTCTATCAAAATTTTAATGGTTGAAATAGTATTTTTTTGAAAAATGTGGTTAAAAAAGAATGAAATGTTTTTAATCTGCGTATAATATTATTTTATGAAAATTTGTGTGGTTGAAAATAAGAGAGAGAAAAAGAATGAGAATGGGACGCAACGGAACTTAGATAAGGTATTGTATTAAAGATTGCATTGAAATCAATCAATTGTCAAAATTAATTAAACAAATAAATGCATATATATTAATAAAAATTTCATGGACATGAATTGAATTGTATCACTTGCAAAACGTTAAGTGGTTTGGTTTGACGTTTTCAATTTTGTAAACACTCAAAATTTGTTTGATTAGTATTTTTTTTTTTAAATGCATTTTGATAAAAAGATTAAACCCCTATTTGTTTTCCATTATTTTTACATTAAAATGAAAAATATGATCGTTATCCATAACATTAAACCACCAAATTTGAATTTCTATCTCTTGTGTATGGCTCATAACGGATATATTTTTTTATTCTCATTTTTACAAAAATGAGAAACAAAGTTTTTTTAAAAGAATGTATAGTTAAAAATAAGGAAAATTTTTAAATTTACGCGTAGAATATGTTGTATGAATGTGTGGTTAAAAATAATTCTATAGTAAAATGAGTTTTTAAGCAATGGGCACCAAATAGGGGCAAAATAATTTTGCATGTGGATTCATAATTTTTCCTTACTTTTTTTATCTACATATTTTTCAAAAAATTACTTTTCACAAAATTTATTCTTAAGAAATCTGTATCAAATCATTAATTCATAACATAAACTCAAAACACGATATATAAACGTAATATGATTTCTCCTCCTAATTAAAAATCCTACCTACCCAATTAACTCATATTAAAACATACTTCTAGAACGACAAATCAAATATATTTTTTCACAATCTTAAAATAGATCCTCAAAACCAATTCACACCCCCTATCTGAACAATATGTCACCCTCGTTGCTTCGTGTTTGCCGACTCATGAATATTTTTGTTATTACCCATACTTTAAAAAAATAATAATAATAAATAAATAAAATCTAAATGTTCACTTAAAAGTTGGAAGTGTATACTCAAACATCTTAAATATGAAAGCGTAGTAAATTTGTATAACTAACAATTGAACAAAATCATGCCACGCCAGGGTTGTATTAATCACCCCTAATATTTTTCTTTCTTTTTTTTTTTTCTTAATAACTTTATTTGTCTCTACTTGATTGGCTAGCTTCTCCACCTTGACCAAGAATGAGTTGAATAGAATCCCAATTTCAATTGGCTCTCGCCCCTTAAACCTTTTGATTTTATTTCTTGTTATAGTAAGTGAATTACTTTAACTCCATAATCAATAAATTACTATAATTATATTTTTATCGCTTTTTCTACAATCACTCGAGAATTGAATTGTTTAATAGTATACAATATCAATTCTGGCGTTCGCTACTGGTTGCAAAGTGTACCAGTAACTTCGATAGGTCAGTTTTCCGTTTGGATCAATTATACGAATTGTTCGATAAATACTGACATAAAAAGATATTCATAGAAGGAGACAAGATAGAAATATAAATGATGTTACAGAAAGGAACCCTTTGGTCCTTTAACATGTGACTCGATATGCACTTTGAGTGGACCAATAAATCTAAGAGCAGATCTTTTTACTAATAAAATATCATATTGGCATTCCATTTCAAAAGGCCCCTAAATAGAAATTAATGTCACTGTCTTTGCTTCATCATCATCTTTCTCATATTTCTAATAATAAATTTGTATAAATAATTTCTTTTTTGAATTCGTGGCACGATCATTGCCAATAAAATATACTGTACTCTTAAACGTGAAGCAATCACCTACGAGCTTTTTTTTGGCAATATTCGGTGAAGTGGATTCACATTCATTTTGTATATCATTTCAATATTTTTTTAGTTAGATCTGCCACGTTCAATTAAATAAAATAAAACAATATCGACAAAGTTAAGTTTATTAAATTGATAATTATTTTTTAAGAATAATATTTTTGGTTTAGCATCTCAACACGTTCATTTATTTAATTATTATGTTAAACATGCTTCGTATATGTTATGTCGAACTTGTTCAAAGGTACTCATGATAATTTTTCATAAATAGATGATAGTGAAACTCAAATTCAAGTCATAAAACAACTCAATTTCAAAGACTAAATAAATATAATTTATCTTTATCTTTAATTTTTTTGAAGAAAAATTATTTCAAAAAAAAAAAATTGTACCAAACATATCTTTAATATTACATAAAAAATGATTTAGAATAAGTCTTTGACCCCACCAAACCCTTAGACGCAATTTTCTTGTGGCTTGTATTTTTATCAAAAAGCAATCACTTTTTAATTCCCAAACCTTCATTTTTCCACAATGAAGATTTCAATTTCTTCAATGAATTAATAGTACTCAACCACACAAAACATGACACCAAGTGACCAACTAACATTAAATGAAAAATAATATGACAACAGTTTTATGCTATTAATATTGATTGGTTAGGTAAACTAGGTTTTGTTCAGAAAGACTTGGAATAGGTAAAGAATAATGTGAAATAACACCATGGTAATAGAGCACTAATTTAGGTGATCGAACTCAACATATTTAATTAAATGAATTATATAATATTGTATGTAAGTGAATTTATTATTTATGCCCTATCTGTTTCCCATTTTTCCTCCATTTTTAGAAGAAAAAGAGTCGTTATTGAACCTTAGCTAGCATGACAAGTTTGACTTGCTTCTCGCAATTTGCATAGAGAGGTGAGCCCAACAATTGAAAATTTCATTCTCATCTTTGGAAAAATACCCCTCAAACAGGAAAATTATTAATATCATGCAATTACCATATAAATTAGTATAACAATAATGATACTGAATAACATTACTAGAATAAAAAATATATTATCCTCCTAACTTCATGTTGAAGAAAAGTACGACACATCTTACAGTTTCAGCCACGCTTTTCACAAGCATAGAAAAGATCTTTGGCTGACAAACTCATGAAACTAATTGAAATATTTATATATGTATAGACCACACAGTTACATATAGCAGAGGATGCAACATGGGTGTACGCTATAGACCACAAACAATATATTCCCAGAATGTTCGTTTTTCAATATAAATAGTGAATTTTTTCCTGTATATTCCAGCAAGTTGCACAGACCTGCAAGTTGCACAGAAAGTGAAGAGGAAGAGGGTAACCGTCCATTTGTTGACGCAAAATAAAGAGAAAATGTGTGTTCAAGGTGCAGAGCAAGAGACAGAGGGAATGGAAAATCCCAAGATTGATGAGCAAATAAGTATAAAGACTTCGTCGTGGCATTCTCAAGTTGATTTTGTCACTGCCCAGAACGAGAATTGGGACAAGAATTCGTCGGCTTTTGATAATGCTTCTATGAAAAATTCAGTTCCAGTAAGTGGAAAATAATCTGTTTTTCTCTTGAATTCCTTGGCTATTTGTTTTATTTTCGTTTAATTTTTCTAATATCTGCTGCCCCCATATGATTGAAATCATGTTTTCTTTGGTATAATAGTGTTGAATTTTGTTAGGGTTTGCCATTGATTTGGTCAGTTTCGAATTTTCGTTCACGAGTGAAGATTTTGCTTCCTCATTTGATTAATTCAGTTCCCAGGTATATAGCCTGAAGGATAATGTTTAGGTTTGTGTAATTTTGCTGAAATTATTCCTAGCTTAATGGTCTCTGAAGTTTCACTGTTTGTGATAAAAGGATTGTTCTAGATGATAAACAATTTACAAGATTTTAGCTTGTTTTTGTTCTCAAAAACCATCCAATACTATCCAGTCGGCCTTACCAAATCAAGCTCAGAAGGTTTAAAGGCTTAGCCGAGATGTTTGAGATTCTCGATTGTTTGCAATTTTCTTTAAAAAGATCTAAAATCTAAATATATTTTTCGTTGGAATTTGAGGAAATATTAATCTTTAATCAACTCGTCTATAGACGCTAAATTGCAATAATTTAGCAGACATGAAAGAATTGACTAGAGATTAGTCTTTATGTTGGAGAATTATCAAAAGAACAAAAATTTATGTGAAAGAGTGCCACATATGTAGTTATAAGCG